GACGAGAGAGAAAGAGAGAAAGAGAGAGAGTTCTATTTATAATGCGTTTGCGTCTTTGCAGGGGCCCCAGCCGGTGGAGGCAGTAAATGTCGCGTGTATTTCATATGAAACTCCACCCCCTCCCGGCTATTCTTCGCAATGCCAATCTCGGTCTTTCGTTCGTCTGATAATACCGACCGCTAACAAAGTTAACCCGCACGAACGGCCACGGTCTGTCGAGGTCTGCTTCCATCCTCGCCCGTCCTTCCACCGGTCCCTCTCTCGGTACACGCTCTCTCAAACACTCTCTGTCTCTCCTAACTCTTTATTCCGAGCTGTTTTTCCTCGCTCGACGACAATTAAGATCGGATGAGCCGCTTATTAACACCGCGCAATTGCATGAGAAAAGCGTCCGTTGGATTTTCGAAGACTTTGGGTAGGTTTCGACTTTCGTCGGATAGCGAGACCGCAAATTAGCTCGTAAAGCGCGTGTTGAAAGTAGCGTAGCAACTTCGGAAAGTTGCTCGGTCGGTTCTCCAGAGGCGGTCGAAATACGTCCAGGGCCTTTTTTAACGAAAAAAAATAAGTCCCCATGGGACCACGGTGTCGTGGATCCACGCGGAATTGCTCGTTAGCTCGATCGAACTCGCGCGATCCATAATCCCGCGTCCTTGTCGTGTGGAAATTTCGACGAGTATCGAGGAAGAACGGCAGTATCGATGAACGAAGGAAGGTACAAAGTACGAACGTATTTACATCGGTTTGGAATCGCGTGAATGATAGGACGGAAGAAAGAGAGAGACGAAGAGAGATCGATGTGGAAGCCAGTAAATGGTAATGGAAGGAAGCAGGAAGGGAAGGGACGTAACCATAGAGGTATATTCCGTTGGCAGCTTATTCGATAGATTCCAGGGCCGTCACGCGAGATTCTGGGAAAAGTCGTTTCGCGCGCGTCCGAAAGGCTTTTAAAGCAGGCGCGTAGTCGGCCCGCAACGGGTCGCAGTTTCTGCGTCGGTTAATAAAGGCCTCCGACATAGTCGATCGTTATTAGATCGGGCACTCCTTCGGCCCGCCAATCTTACCCGCCCAATATACTTCGCAATAACTCATAAAATGCAACATTTTGTTTCGTATACCAATTACCCCCACTCTCGGCGGTATCGACGGGGGCCGGCTGTGCCATCGGGGACCGCTCGTTTCTGCCACGATCGTCGTTCTGATGCTCACGATGCCCACGATGCCCACGGCCACGGTGCACTGGCACAGGAAGAAGCTCGTCCGCTGCTGAAATAGAGAAAAAGAGATGAAAAACATCTCCAAAACACAGTCTACCACGTGCACGCGCGATTACGTTAATATTTATTCTTCGTAGCTTCGTAGACACGCGCCGTGACCTAAAAATGACGGGTCGAAGAGAGTGGTCGGGAAGAACGAGAGAGAAAGAAGAGTAAAAATGACGCGGAAAACGAGGGATCTACGCGTATCCGGTTGACACCGCGAGTGTTCTCGTCAGTAGTAAGTGTCTACTGAATATGGAGTAGGAAGAGAACGAGCTTGGGACGGATAAAGGAAAATTAGTTTTCCACGGTAGCGGCGAAAAGCCGCGGCTCGCTATTACGATCTGCCGTCACGGATCACGCTTCGTGAGCCGCGATTCCATCGCGACGGTCGAGCCGCTTGGATATCGAGCCGGTTTCCGAACGAGACGTCGCTTTGTTCCGAAGAAAAATCGAATCGTGCGCGTCTTTGGTCTTGGACTAGGTCGACGCGAGTTTCATAAAAAGTTGGAATGGCGGCTATAAATACGGACTAAGGTTCGCATGGTCGTGGCAGTCTGATGGGTCGTCTCGTGTGCGCGCCGGTGTGTACGCTCGACCCTCTTCTCCGTTCGCAACGAAGCGCGCGAAAATTATGTACAACGATAGGTACATAACGCCTGTACGCCACGTCGAACGGCTACTTTGACTGGTCGAAGCGAGCATGCAATGGCCACTATTGCGGCTCGCTATGGCTCGAATACACCGGCGGGACGCGGCCGCGGTGTCGGCGGCGGCGGTGGTGGCGGTGGCGGCGGCCATTATAAAAATAACTGCTGATTGGACGCCCTACCAAGAAAAGTCGTAATCGCATCCTGAAATGCCTCTTCTCTCTTCTCTCTTCCCCTCCTACTCCTTGCCCTCCCCCCTTTTCTTTTCCCCTTGCCATTTCTTTCTCCTTATCTTCGTATCTTTCTCTTCGTCTTCCTCCTTTGCCGGTAGATTTCTGCCCGGTGTGTCGAACAATGAGACCCGTTCCTGCCGACTTCCACACCTTCTTCTTTCTTCCTCTTTCTCCCTCGCTTCTCCTCTCTCTGTGCTTCTCTCTTTCTCTCTCTCTCTCTCTGTCTGTCTGTCTGTCGAAAGTGGCACAGTGTTCTCGAAGGGGCCAATATCTCGCGACGCGACGTCCGCGTCGATAGCAGCGTCACCGTGGGACCAACAGTCCAGTCCCTTTCCCGTTTCTGCGCGTTCGATGCTCGCGCGATCTTTGCCCGCCAATAATTTATTTTCCCCGCGATATATAGGAGCGAGCTAGCCGCGGCCGTGATCGCGAACCGCCCATTTTCTTTCGAGGGCAACACACGCACCGGTAGAATGATTTGTGCGAAGCACGGGGAGCAAAGAAAAAGCACGGAACACGTGGATGGATTGGACAGCAAGGGGGTTTAGAGTCCGCGAGGCCTCGTCGTGGCAACGCGAGGATGGGAGGCAGGGAAGAATCGGGCGCCATTTTGCGAGCGCAGCTTTTATCGCCGCGCCCTATATAGGAACATTATGCCTGGGTTGCCGGGTTGCGCGTATATCAACAATAATTGCAGGGCCAATAATAAAGCTGGAGGGACCACGCTCGATAGCCCGAAATTGCCGGTTCCCCTACCCCGGCCTGCAACGTTTTATTGCCTCCACTCTCGAGAGCAGGAATGGCGGCAGCCCCCTTCGTCCTTCTCGATGGCGGATAAACGATCCTGCGATACGATGCCACCGCTGCTAGCGATGGCCACTCGATATTCTCTCTGTCGCCAGCTTCGGAGCCAGTCACTCTCGCGCATCTCTCCTCATTTTTTAACGATCCTCGCGATAACTGGAAAAATCTTCCGCGATATCTCTAAATCGGGTCGAATTCCGACGCTTTGTTATCTCGGAGAATTTTATCTCGATATCTCGATATGTCGAACGGTATCGGGAACGATCGATGACCCAACGACACTCTGCGCTCGCTCTGCTCCGCTCCGCTCCGCTCGGCGCCGCGAGCATACCGGGTCTAGTTACCTCCGGCTTGCTATTATTATTACGGATACTACTGCCGCTGCTGCCTGTTCTCGTTATTATTCCTTTTGCTGTTACTCTCCGTGGCAGCATCGTCGCCGTGGTCGTCGCCGTGGTCGTGGTCGTCGTTGTTGTTGCCGTTGCCGATGCTGATGCTGCCGTTGTAGCAAGGTGTTTCGTACGAAGAATCGTTCGCGAGCTCGTAAAGAGCCGCAAAGGAGAGCTCGCACGCGCGATAGTCACGAGTATTGCCCTTGTTAACGCCCCGTTAACTCGAACCTCTGGACAAACTCGTAAAATTTACCGGCTTCGAGCCGGTAAGACTACCACGCGGTGTACACGGCTGCCGGTGAATTTTCGCGTGACTTTAAATCGAGCCGGAATTATGTGTTTAGTGCAAACGTCGGCCGAGGCATCGCGATGCGAGAATATATCTCCGCTTCTCTCTCTCTCTCTCTCCTCTTCTCTCCTTCATTTTTTCTCCCTTCTTCCCTCCCTTTTTCTCTTTCCTCCACCACACTCGCTGCGCCCTTCGCCGCGATCGGTTCCCCCGGTTAAATCGGCGCGTAACGCGAGCCAGTGGAAGCAGGCCGTACTCGCGCGATCGTGGACGCGAGCGTTTAGCGCCATCTCTAAAGCGTTGGCACGCGGAGTGGAATCGCGCGGCGTTTTCAATTATTTTCGTCCATGGACGCGTATTTACGAGGGCAACGATCAGATTACGGCAGCAGCGAGGCTCGTAAAGCCGACGTTTACATACGCGTTGTTGAACCGCGAGATAGTCGCAAACGGGTCGCTAACTCTTGTTAACACCCCGTTAACACGGACCTCGGAACAACCTCGTAACGCCACGGCGACAGAATTGCCGTGGCCATAGGTACATGGCGGTATAGAGGAGCAAAGGTATGCAGCGATCGCGATCCGCTCGAAATTCCATCGATCCACCGTGACCGACCTCCGGGTGACCTTTTTACGGCTAATTCGAGACGCGAGATAGAACCGAGACGTATCGCGAGATCGCGGCTGATTTAGGATCTGTATCGGATTATAAAGGCGATGGTCGTGGCTGGTTGCACGGCGTTCGACACGATCCCGGCACGTTATCTTAAATGCCAGTTAAAACTCGCGTAAAAGCTCGTAAAAGGCTCGTTTGTTGTTTGCGCGAGCGAGTTCGCGATAATTCCGATATAACCGCGATTCTGCACGCGGAGGAGTCGCGTGAAGAAATATTTGCCAGATTATCCGCACCATCGATTCGTTTCTCTCACCAAGCGGCGTCCTCCTCTTCCTCCTCTGCCGCAACCCCCGTGCTTGCCCCATCCTTCGTGTTACCATTTTTCTTTATTCTATTTATTATACGCGAGCGTACGATACGTACAGGTAAGGAGATCGTAAAAGCCGCGGCGCTCGCGTGATCGTTACGAATTCGTTATTGCTCTTGTTAACGCCCCTCGCTGGAAGCCTTGGACAAACCTCGTAAAGTTTCAGCGGTGTGCGCCCCGCGTAAACCATCGTCGAAAATGCGCCCGAACCGATCACGTGACGGATAAGAAGACCCCGAAGTCTTGGGAACAGCGAGTCCGCCACGAACCGAACGCGATACCTTTTTATCACCGTCCCCCTTTCACCCCCCAGTCCTATTCTCATCCGTCCCCTTCTTCGTTTCTCTTTCGCTTTCTCTTCTCCCTGTCTCTCAACGGAATTGTTTGATTTCAGGAACGCCGATCAATCGACTGCCAATTATGGCGAAATCGGTGCTGGACCTGTACGAACTGTACAATTTGGTGATCGCCAGGGGCGGCCTGGTCGACGTGATCAATAAGAAGCTCTGGCAGGAAATCATCAAAGGCCTCCACCTGCCATCGAGCATCACTTCCGCCGCGTTCACTCTGCGCACCCAGTAAGTAGATCGTGAAGTTTCTCATCCGGGACCCTATTCCGCCCGTGCCTATTCGCTGGTAATTCGCATACAATGAGTCCCCGTGCCCGACAAAAGCTCATCTGAGCATGAAATCTGCGCCGATGACTAAGAACCAGGCCTTTCGTGTCGCTCTCTCCGCTTCCCGAAGAAGCTGTCCGCGCCGCCGCGAGCCATTTTCTTTCCCATTCGTTCTATCCGATCGATCGTTTCTTTCTTCTCTTAGCCGCGACTAAACGGTAAACTGGTAGGTAGATGGGCGTATAGATAGGCAGGTGTTACGCTCTTCGCGACTTTGCTTGCTCGAGCTGGCTCGCAAGATCGATTCGAAAGGAGAAAAAGTCGTAGGGACATCAAAGGGTGCTCCACGCCTTCCGGACAGCCGTTGTTTGGGAAACGCTATCATCATTACCGCTGGCAAACGCGAGCGCCAAGGAGGACTGTTTGTGTGCTTAAGATGGCGGCTTGTATCAGGAGCGGCGTGTTCTCCGCGAAACAAAAATATACGAAGCGCCGCGGCACAAAAGAAGCTCGGCCAGGAGAACACACAATATTAACGCTTCTGGCCGTGCTGCGAACACTCAAAACCATGGAAAGGAGTCGTGGAGAGTGAGAAAGAGAGAGAGAGAGAGAGAGAGAGAGCGAGACCCGGCTCGTGCCGGTTAACCCCATTCGTCACCTGCCAGAGGAAGTCGACGCGGCTTTCCTCGCCTCGTCCCCAACGAGTCCGAGAGGATCGAACCGGGTGTCAAAATAAAAATCTCCGTTTGGTGTCGGGATTCGACGAACCGATCCGTTCCGCGTGTCCAGCGCGGAAAAATACACCACGCGCCTTCCGGGAATTAAACATCCCCAGATTTCCCCTAGACTACGATACTCTTTATCGCCCGAAGCGTTACACCGACGTTATTCGCGAATTACGCAAACTTGCAGTGTCTTTTGCGTCTGTGGTTAATCGTGGAGGAGTTTAAGATCGTAAAACCAAGTTTCCTTAACCTCTTACCTTACAACTGTAGCTCCCAAGGCACGTGCTACGATCAGACAGCAAAGTCACACGGTCACACGTCGAGCATATCGTCCGAACGCGGCGAAGAATAACACGTAACTGACAAGCCTCAACTTGTCTCGACAGAAAAACATCGACGAGGATTAACGGTCACACGTCGAATTCCGTCCGAGCGTGGCGAAGAATAACACGCAACTGGGACAGGAAAACATCTGCGAAAATTAACCATGAGCCTGACCCGCTATGTTTACGTTCGTTTCTATCCGCAAACGTCTCTCACTCGTTATACTCGTGTTCGACCCGATTCCCTTACCACGAGTTTCGCGCGATATTTCAGGCGAAGGGGTTAAGATCGGTATTTCTCTTCTCGTTGCTTTATCGCTTCGAGGTTACCTCCAAACCCCGGGAAAATTTCAAAGTCCCTTTATCGTTATCACTTTATCGTTTTGTTCATCTTACCTGGATTCCCCTAAATTGGTAATTTTCTCTTTATCAGTTGGAACGTTATCTAAACGTTATTTACAAATCCAGATTTCCACTAGTCTAGTATCTTTCCAATTATTATTAGAAACGTCACTCCCAATCTAGCAACCCCATCCATATTATTCAAGATACTATCTAAACTTATTTACGAATTACGTAAACCTTCAACGTCTCGTCGCAACCTGTCATTCAGTTTAACATCGCGAAACGCACGTTTCCCCTAGTCTAGTTCCTTCCTTCTTATTATTAGAAGCGTAGCTTCGATATTATCCACGAACATTCTCGAATATCCTAGCTACGATATAAATGTAATTCGGCAATTGTAAAATCGCCAAATCGCCAAATCGCTGCAACCTCCCCTCCCCTGATTCTCCGAAACGTTATACGAAGGTTATTTGCGAACGTCCGGAAAATTCAAACATGGCCGCGCAACTGTCGTTGCACGTCGCCATTGATCGAGTTTGAAATCGCGAATCCACTTCTCTGCGATCTTCGATGAGGGTACCCTCGCTCGCGTTTGCGAGCTCGCCAAGTTCCGGGCAGGATAGTTAATATAAATTTGACGGTCGATTTATCAGTGACTATTCCGGTGGCGCGATTCGCGACGCGAATCGTCCGGCGGGGCAGGATGAAATTAATTAAACGCTGGCGAATTTCGCGACGACAAAGGGAACGTTCCGCGCGTATCGCGCGACGAAGAAGCACGCGCGCGAGTTGGCGAGGAGGCGCGAACAAGGAACAGCTGCTTCCTTTCGCGAGGCCGCTTAATCGTCTTCTCGCGGTTTCGACGAGCTGGAGGCATCGGCACGATATGCATCCGCTTATATAATACCGAGCCTGTCCGCCGTTGCAACGAAGATTTATTGGCGTTTCACTCGTACACGGAGTCGCTTCTAAATAGGATCCGTAAACTCGCGACCGGGCTGGATGCAACGGCGCGGAAAAAATCCCTAGGGCCCCGATAAAAGCGGCGCGCGCCGGTTTCCCGATCCGCCATCGAGGTGACGCGCGCTCACGCACCGCGGGCTAATATGAATTATACGGGCGCGATGCGAGCGACATCGGTCGTGAAAATAACCCCGCGACGCTCGGTGCGTGACGCGCGACAGAACGTCGGGACGCCGGCGCATCCATCATTCCGGCAACCGGTTATCTCCGACGGTGGAACAGGGACAGACGGAGGAAACGAAATTGTAAAGGAAGACGGCGGCTACCGGCGGGGGCCGCAGAGTGTATCGCGGTGCTACGACTATATCGAGCCACGCGCCTCCAACGTGTAATTATTTATACCGCGAGGGAGGCAGCGGCGAGCTCTCGCGCGCGCCAGCCGCTGTTCCATTGTGTCTACCCAGCACGTCTCGTTGTTTCCGACAAATTTGACGCTCTTGCACCGGCTCAGGATGAATGATACACCGCGGACAAGGCGAAACCAGCGGAGAAAAGATACAAGCACGCTGGCCAACGCGCCTTACTTTCGTTTCAACGATTCCACTTTCAGAGGCCACGGTTTCTCCGCGTAACGAGCTGAGGTGGAATTTAGACCGGTGCTGGTGGAGGGGACGGAAATGTTTTTGCATATCGAGATTCGCGTTGGGATACTCCGTTTGGCGAGCGCCATTTGTTTCTTCTTCGACGTCCCTAGATTCTCTGCGCATTAGCAGATCGAGGCAAATACGAGAGACATGTCCTTGCTCCTAGATTTTTATTACGGATGATGCAAAGAGGCTAATAGTTCGGAAGTCCAGTCCTCCAAAAGTTAGCCTCAGAACAGGTCGTCAAATTGCAATCATCGAGACTCAGTAACGATCCAAGGAAAGGTGCAAACAGTTTTGCAATCTGAATTCTCTCGCGTGCAAATCGGACAGTGACTCGGTTGCTCATGGCAGATGTACTTCAATGACGGAACGTTCTACGGAAACCAGGTTTCATCGGTCATGGAGATGTTTTTGCATATCGAGATTCGCGTTGGGATACTCCGTTTCGTGAGCGCCATTTGTTTCTTCGTCGACGTCCCTAGATTCTCTGCGCATTAGCAGATCGAGGCAAATACGAGAGACATGTCCTTGCTCCTAGATTTTTATTACGGATGATGCAAAGAGGCTAATAGTTCGGAAGTCCAGTCCTCCAAAAGTTAGCCTCAGAACAGGTCGTCAAATTGCAATCATCGAGACTCAGTAACGATCCAAGGAAAGGTGCAAACAGTTTTGCAATCTGAATTCTCTCGCGTGCAAATCGGACAGTGACTCGGTTGCTCATGGCAGATGTACTTCAATGACGGAACGTTCTACGGAAACCAGGTTTCATCGGTCATGGAGATGTTTTTGCATATCGAGATTCGCGTTGGGATACTCCGTTTCGTGAGCGCCATTTGTTTCTTCGTCGACGTCCCTAGATTCTCTGCGCATTAGCAGATCGAGGCAAATACGAGAGACATGTCCTTGCTCCTAGATTTTTATTACGGATGATGCAAAGAGGCTAATAGTTCGGAAGTCCAGTCCTCCAAAAGTTAGCCTCAGAACAGGTCGTCAAATTGCAATCATCGAGACTCAGTAACGATCCAAGGAAAGGTGCAAACAGTTTTGCAATCTGAATTCTCTCGCGTGCAAATCGGACAGTGACTCGGTTGCTCATGGCAGATGTACATCAATGACGGAACATTCTACGGAAACCAGGTTTCATCGGTCATGGAGACCTAAAACCGTGTCTCGAATTTGGAACGACAGGCTCGTTGGAGCGGTGCAGCGCGAATTTGATTATCACCCAGAAAGAGAGATTTATGCGCGGAACCAGCGACGCACACCTGGACAAAGGCTCGTCGCGTGCACACAGTGGAAAGAAGTGCACGAGAGGGAACTATGCGGCTATAGCGAGTGGTTGGTTGTTGCTCACGCACGAGACACAGCGAGTTTTCGGTTCGTCGAGGGAGAACGGTTGTTCGCCGGGGAAGGTGGAGGAAGAAGAAGAAGACGAAGGCGAAGAGGAGGTCGAAGAAGAAGACAAAGAAGTCGAGGAGGCGGAGGAGGAGGAAACGACCGGGCCGAAGGGCTAGTTTCGGCCGCAGTCTGGCAGACAATCGTAAAAGCCGAACGATCCCTGCGCGAATTATAGGCCGCGGTTCTCTTGCGAGAATATGTCTATCCACGAACGTGTGTGCGGGCCCAGGCCGATCCTCTAGCACAGACCAAGGGGCTTCTTCTTCGTCTGGCTCCGATTCCGCGTCAAAATAAACAATATCCGCGAATTACACCACTCACCCCTTTGCAGTGGAATCCTCCTGAGAGGAGGAGGCTCGGAGCAACGATTCCGCATTGCGGTTTCTCAGCGTCAGTGGATGTCCGATACATCCATTCGTTCTCTTATTTCGCAGGAATTTTGCAATTAACCCTTTGCACTCGAGAGGTGCCTCTAGGTCACCATTTGATAAAATTTCGAAGCTCGATATTAATTAATATATCAAATTTAAAATAATTGAACAGTGTGCGAGATATCGAAATTGAATAATTCTATGTGTTAATTATTATACGATTTCTTATTTGCTACTCAAAAAGTAGCATCAGCTTTATGGAAGAAAATTTTTCAACTCGTACCCCTCTTTAGCCAAAATATCGTCGAGCGCAAAGGGTTGAGCTAACTCCGATATTTCTTCTTCTCTTCTTATTACATCCTGGATGGAATTTTCAATCTTCGTTTTTGCAGAAATTTTGTTCTCTCTTTTATTGTCATTTAACCTTCTTATTTTTAGAGCGTTGAGTGCTACGTCAGTTCCAGGGAACTGACAGTAGACTTTCCGTTTTGGTCGACATCGGTACGTGAGACTGGTATTGTCAAGGGTTAAATTATTAATGACAATTAATAAATTGGAAAAAGTAAATTCCCTCTGCTGAAGTAAATCTTTACACTTCCGTAGCTTTTTCTAACTGATCGTCTCTTGGTGATCGCCTTTTTGCCTTTCCCAGGTGGTATTCCCCACCCCATTATCTTCTGTTTGTAATTTGTATATTTGTGCATTGGCTGCACCGTTTTCACAGTCCAAACAATAAAGTGAAACGTAGTAATCTTCTGTTCATACTCTTCGGCATACTTGACTGCTCTAGTGCTCACTCGCATCTACATTTTCGACTAATATTATGGTGAGCTGATATTTTTGCATAAATAAAAGGATCAGAACCTATTGCATTGCTATAACCATTTCAATTCCTATAAGTTTTTGACTAAAATTTTCAATCTTGTCGATATTTTCGACTAATATCGTAGTGAGGCAATATTTTTGCATAAACGAAGGGATCAGAACCTATTGAATTGCTACAGCCATTTCAATTCCTATAGGTTTTTGACTAAAATTTTCAATTGTATTGACATTTTCGACTAAATATCGCGGTGAGCTAATATTTTTGCACAAATGAGCATAACAAAGTGAAAGAATGTAATCTTCTGCTCATACTCTTCAGCATACTTGAGCGCCCTAGTGCTCACGTGCTCACTCGCACCTACATTTTCGACTAATATTATGGTGAGCTGATATTTTTGCATAAATAAAGGGATCAGAATCTATTGCATTGCTATAGCCATTTCAATTCCTACAGATTTTTGATTAAAATTTTCAATTGTATCGAAAATCTAGTGCAAAAATCTGTATCTGGTGCACACTCGCTGCCGTCTGAGCGGAAAGCATAGCAAAATCGGCGCCGCACTCAACGTGTTAATGTCACATGTGTCATTTTCCAACTGAGCAATGCTAGATACCTTGATTATGATCTTATTCTATTTTGGACGAGTTTCGATGAAGATCGACGAAATGTCTGGAGCAACTTCATCGCTTCGTTTTATTTCATTCCTAACCCGCGTCCTCTATTTCCGTCCAAACTTTGCTCTCTCATTATCGCATTTGTCTCCCACGAGAAAAGCCGGTCGATTAGTTCTAGCTAAAATTCCTGTAGAGACGGTTAACATCCCGTTGTTGTTCACCAACTACGCGAACCGTTCTTCCATTTCGAATCATCGCTCGCGTCTATTTTCGCGGAAACTTTCTTCTCTCTTCATCGCGTTCGTGCATCGCGGTGAAGATCCGCGAGACATCGGACCCCGATAGGCAAGATTTAGCCAGCGGTCTCAGTGGGTGACGTCTCGAAACGTAGCCGGGCGATTCGTGTGTGGCGAACACAGCGACATCGTTCAGGTGCAATTAGCGCGGTCTGACCGAGCATTAAAGTCGACCGAGCGGCGCAGATACGGAGGAGGACCGGGACGCGAGATTAAATTGAGCGGCGCGCAGTGGCGACGTGTACGCGGTGCGGATCTGCCTTGCCAATTTCGCGTTCACCGAACCGCGGCCTGTCCCTCCGCCACGATGGACAATGCCGGGCTGTGGCGTCCGCGACGCGATTTCGATTAACTCACGCCCACCTCGGCCGCCTCGTTTTCCCGTCGCGTTTTATTGCGCTTCGTTCGCTCGGCACGGCTTCGTCGAATCGTAATTCTCGTAAAAGGCGAAACGAAAATTCGCGCGGCACGCGTTGCGCGATTCCGCGCGTTGGCTTGTCTCGCTTCGAGCAATATTGTCTTAGAAAGCGAGCAATAACGGTCGCGAGCGGAAAATCAACACACCGCCCATCCGCTTTCTACGGCTCGGCGCTTTTTTTCCCCCTTGCAGATACATGAAATACCTGTATCCGTACGAGTGCGAGAAGAGACGACTGTCAACGCCGGCGGAGCTTCAGGCGGCGATCGACGGGAATCGTCGGGAGGGACGTCGCAGCAGCTACGGGGCGTACGCGGCTAGCGGCGGCGCTGCAGGCGAAAGCCTCGTGCAGAGGAACCCCCACACGCCCAACTCGCTCGCGTTGCACGCGCAAATGACGCCGTTATCGTTGGTGACGGCGGTGGCTGCCGGTGGTCAACATCATGGGCCGCAATCGCTGGTAAACGGAAGCGCCGCGCACACACCCCTGCCCCACCATCCGCACCATCCTCAACACCCTCAGGGACTGCCAGGACAGCCACCGAACGCAGGTCGGTATATTTTCTCTTCAAGCGATCCGCGAGTCGCGTTTCTGCAGTCGGACCATCTCGAAGAGGTTAAGAAATGATCGAGCGAGGGAGAGGGAAAGAGAGAAAAGGGAAAAGTGAAGGAGGGAATCGAAACGGAGTCTACATAGAGAGGGTCTAGATGAAAAGTTAGCGGTACGCGAGGAGACAGATGCGAACGGAGAAAAAGAGATACGTCGGGAAGGGAGTAGAAGAGGAGCGGGTTTATTTTAAATCGGTAGTTAGGGTTCCAGGCCTCCCCGGAGATGATGATGCGAGAGCGAAGGAGGCGTAATTGATTGTACGATCCTCCGGGAGACAGGCGTTAACGGATGACTCTCGCTAACGAGCATTCCTACTTCCCTACCCTTTTCTTCCTCCTTCTCGCCCCTACCACCATCGTGCTTCGCCCCTTTCGTCCTTGTTTCGCCACCCTCTCGCCCGACGTCGCACCAATTTTGCTCCTACGACTCGCACCCTCCTCGCTCGTCACCAGCGCCGCCCCTCGAATTTCCCTTTGCCTCTCTTTGCCTACTGCGTGCTCGCTTTTCTTTCCGCGCCGCGCCATTTCCTTCCTTTCTTCTGCATGCACGATCTATAAAAGACACGATCGTTTATTCGAATGACCGTCGTCGAACTAATCGAGTTCACGTCCAGGTCCAGTCATTTTCCATGTCTCCGGCGTGTCCGATGGAGCCACGCGAATCACGCGTACCGTGGGTCGCTTTGATTTAGTATCGCGAATCCAGACGTCCCTTTGAAACGCACCAACGATTGTCGCGAAGCATCGTTCGATCGATCCGTTCCACGCGAACACCGCGTTTCATTTCGTTTCGTTTCGTTTCGTTTCGTTTCGTTTCGTTTCGTTTCGTTCCTCCATGTTAATCGTAACCGGCTACAGGACCTATCCCCGGCATGGCACCGTCCGAGTTCGAGGCACGCATGGTCGAGTACGTGAAGTTGCTGAACAAGGAGCTGAGAAGCGCTGGCGCGGGCACGCCACCTCCGATGATCCATCGGCAGGGAAGCGCATCGCCACCGTCCTCCACGCCGCCGAGAGATGGTGCATTTAGCGCTCTCGAGATGTCCCGGTTAACCTTGTGGAACATGTACAACAACAATACCCTGTATCCGGGAGTCGGTCACCAGCCACCCATGTCTCCTCAGGCCTCGCATTCTCCGGTACCCCCGGCCTCTAGCCCCGAACCTCAGAGGGAAGCTCTTGACCTCGGACTCAGGTAAGGATTTACGATAAAGCTTGAAAAAGGTTTATGACCGTCAGTTTGGCGGGAATGGTCAAGTTTTGTAACGGGTTCGTGCGATTCCGTTAGGTCGTCGCCCGTGTCTTCGTCACCCGCCAGGCAAAGTTCACCGTCATCGGGAGGTAGTATGCAAGTGAAGAGGGATCCTGATCTGACCGGCACACCTGGACCTCCACCCGCGAAAAGGCTACTCTCGGACGACGATAGTCCAATCGAGAAGAACGCTACAGCCTCTGTGGGCACGCACATTAAAATTTCCAATCGAGGTAAGCGCAACTGCGGCTTTCGTCTTTCCCGCGCACGACGGCTGCGCATGCGCCACCTGGCGCCAGTCTAGCGTACTACGTAGTATATTCGCGCGGTGTCGTTTCCTACGACGCAACCGGCGTGTGTGTACAGTAATGAAATTTTCGGTTGTAGGAGACGGACGGAACGGTGACAATTCCTTAGTAGTCAGTATGGAGTTGAACGGAGTGATGTATCAAGGTGTTCTGTTCGCCCAAAGTGACAGTAGGACCGCGAGCAGTACAGCGACCAGCAACAGCAACAATGCGAAACCGTCGCGGAGCATGGTCTCGTGAACGCGCAACGATCAACGAACCGTCAGCCTATCCACGATGTCTCGATACTTAACGATCATAGCATTCATCTGTAGCGATAATAACCACCTCGTGAACGGACGAAGCAGTCTGCCATCGTAATGTTAGTCACCGATCGATCGAAGGATTTTCGTAATTGTACAAATCACGAAGTGTGTCCCGTGTTCCACGAGAAATCGACGGTGGGAGTCGATCCGGAGAAGGTATGAGCTCAGTTTAGTTCGTCGCGTGCGTTCGCTCGCGTCGAACCCTCTCTCTGGCGAATCATTTGTTTCGTTGCGTGGCAAATCTATCGTTTCTTGGGTTTTTTTCGTTCGCAAAAGACGTTCTTGCGACAAGCTCGGAATTCGTGTTGTGATATTTAGATACGCGCGTTCGATCGATCGTCGATGCTCGCCTGACGTTTTGTTTCTTGTTTCTCTTGTTACCGGTATACGGGAATCGTGTGTACCTTTGGTTGATCACGAGCGAGCGTGAAAGAGTCGAATTATATTCATCGAGATTGATTTTCTTTGACCACGTTAACGAGTGGACGACGAATCGAGAGTGTCGTGTCTCCCTTCCGTCTTTGAGTTCTTATTTGTACGTTCATTTCTTGACATTCGATTGGCTCGAATGGTCGGTATTGGTATTAAACTATACACGAATACCCGCCAGATCGGTAGAAATTGTATAAATGTATGATGCTCGAATTAATCGCGACCATGGTAGGCTGCTCCGCTTCGACAATGATTGAAACGTTATTGTGTGAATAGTGTATGTATGATTTGTGTGCAATGAAAAAAAAAAAGAAATGTCTTTTTTAATTATATTTCTCATGCATTGCGTTCCTTTCATTCAAGAAGAACTTTTCGGTGTGTCGCTCGCCGCAGATCTCGCATTGTCTTTCCTTTCGTTCAACTTAATGATATAATTAAAAAAGAATAAAAGAATACACGAGAAAATGATATTTGTACGGGTGAATTAGAGCGAAAAGCATTCTCCGAAGAATCTTGACTGGAAGCACTCGGCCAAATAGAGTAATTGCTCTGAGAATCGAACTTCCAAACTGGATCGATCATTTGTCCTTTCTTTTTTTCTTTTTTTTTTTTTTTTTTTTTTTTTTTTTTTTTATCACTTTATCACCGAATCAAAACATCTTAACTTATTTATTGACGCTGATCTCTCGTTACTCTCGAGACTCGAGCGTTATTCGCGCGGTTAGTTTCTAGTAGTTTTCTTTTTCCCTTCTTGTTTGACGCGACTTGAGAAATCGGTTTCTTTCCGATATTTTATAGCATTTTAATTCAACGTGTACATTTGTTTTTACCACACTATTAATATGATATCGCAGCGAATGTAGAAAGAAGGATGCGTGTATATATGTATACACTACATACATATATATATACACAAATATATATATATATACACACACCATACACATACATATATATACACATCTACGTACATACATAGACTATTGTCCATCTTGTCGCTCGTTCGTTAAGTGTACATAGTCATTTGAACATTTTTTTCTTGCAAAAGGGACAGAGCTAAGTGCGACAGTTTACGAGAAGATACGCCATTATTATAATTATTATTATTATAATTATTATTATTACTGTTAGATATAGAGAAAGAAAGAAAGATATTATGTATCGTGATTTTTATATTATTACGCACGAATAATTTTTATTTTCTTTTACTTTCTTTTCGTTACAGCCAGATTTGTACCGATGCGCGATCGTTCGTTTTTCATTCGCATCCTTTCTATATACAAGATTCGCGCGTGGGTTCGCACCACGAAATCGAACGAAAAATCCGAACGAACGGAAAGGCGGAATCGTTTCTTCCTTTTTTCTACTCCATGTTCTCGCGTTAGTTTCTTTCGTTTGTGTCGGATGCGCGAGAGGTACGAGCGTTTGTTATTAAAGCATTTAACCGCCTAGCACCCGAACGTTCGACCCAATCGTAGCACCATTTCGCACCTTTGCTGTTTGTCCCACGCGTCGTCCATCTTTAAGTTTTCCCCTTCCCCTTCTTGTATCTTTTTTTCTCTTTTTTTTCTCCTCTACGATAAATAACCTCGTTTTCTCGATGTCGACTAGGGCCAGTTCGATAACGATACCGCAGGCAACGCTGAACTGTGAAACGCTGAACACCCATGAACCGATCTATAAATGTATAAATATAGCAACGTCTACTTTACATAATGCTTAGTATGTAACATGCAGGAGAATCATACAGAATTGAAACGTATCCCCTTAGAAGACAAGCGTATTCACAAAGCGATCAGAACGAGAATAAAGCATCCTTAGTCATAGTCGTTAGGATAAAAATTTAGCGAAGGTAAGATATTAGAGAATAATACGCGCGACAGTAATACAAAGGACATAGGTTAGGTCGGAGGAAGGGATATTGCGAATGATTTTTCGTCGATCTCCAACAAGATATAGCGAGAAGCGAATATAACGATGGCTTATTCGATCATCTTAGGATTTGCGTATTGATTACGATGCGGTATTGAGAAGGAAGAAACTGTTTTATTGTTTATAGCTCGAAGGTTAGCCAAAAAGACTGTTACATAGGACGAATATTATATACGGTAGAAATAATTTCTTATTATGGTTATTAAGAACGATATTATTGTCATCGTCAATATTAATATTACGACTATATTGCTATTATTCCTATTACTACTATTAGTATTATCCAGCTATTTACTATTATCACCTTGTTATGGCGTGATAGCGAGTAACGGTTCTAATAAAAGGACAAAAAAAAGAAAAAAATACAGAATGTTCGCATCAAAATTAAAAAAAAAAAAAAAAGGAATCCTTGTTGCTCCTATATTCATGTGCGAAGGTAAAAAAAAAAAACGCTGATCCCTTTTTATCATTTTTGTTTGAGATGTTTGGTCTCGAGTAAAAAAGGAAAATATTCCCGCAATGATCTCGAAATTAATGGCCATACACGATTTACCTTTTCGAGCTTTTCTTTTGATGTGGTGCTAAGTTCGGTTTTCTATTTTTTAATTCTTTACACGAAACACGAAATTATTGAACGACAGTTCGGTGAAAAAATGAGCAACAAAAAAAATACATGCAACATTTTATAGTTTTGTCGCACTCGATTGTGATTTTGATAGCTTATGAAACGATCGTTAGTGTTTATCGAACCGACTGTTTGGCGCCGGTTTGTAAGTATTACTAATTTCTTCTTCAATGTCGAAACAAAGATACACCACATTTACAAGCATAATATTGTAATAACTATTATAAATGTTGTATATACTATATACGATCTTGAAAGAAAACATGGAACACTGATGACATTTAACTATTTTAGTCTCCGTAAGTAGCAACTTAGTTATCTGTAAATCCATGTAAACGCGCCCACAAATATCATAACGAATAAAATCGACTACTTTTATATCAATAGTTTCATGACCTTGTTACGCCTTTGTTAATCACACGTATCTTTCTTTTGATGTATAGTTTTGGCTCGCATTATTGACTTTTATAAAACATTGTTAGTTAAGAAGTCATTCATTCGACCATGTGCTTGTGTCTAGTAAATATTTCCGATTTATAAAAATCTTTCTTGTTTCGCCGTAGTTTCATTGATAATGTATCATTGCGATTTCAATTCATAGTATTACAAATTTTATGATTAAAATTGTTGATCGTAGATAACAATACCCGCTTCTCTTCTGATGTTGCAAAAGCATATTCGACGGTCGACATACAAAGTTTTATAAGTTGATCTCGATTCAAGCTAAACGTTAAACTAGCTATTTCGTATTCTCGAGACAAAGTCGTATGGAAAACGCCTTTGTCGTCGGTCTAAAAAATAAAAAATTGTTTTTTAGAATAATTGCATAAATAAATATTAATAACTTTACTCACGGCAAGACAAATAGGATGTCCAGCTTCAAACAAATATTTAAATTGGTGAGACTCATAAGTAGATACTGTTTTACACTGAACATTCGAGGTTAAACACAATTCTAGATAAAAGACAATAATTAAATATTCGCTATGAAATATTTAAATAAAATTTTCAAATTAATTAACAAATTTTCATAATTTTTACCATTCTTACCTACAGGAATTTTTGAATCGAGCAGCAGATTAAATAATTTGCTTGACCCTTGTAAAGCAGGATGAACACAAGTACAATGTCCAAATCTGTCTGGCTTAAATTCGAAAATATCTATTGTCTCTGTTTCATTAGGAACCTAAACAAGACAAATGAAAAAGCATGTAATGTATTTTGAAATTGTATTAAATTATCATCTATTTAAATATGAATTGAGTTTTACCTCTGCGCAATGGGCTGCAATTTTAAGCCCAGCCATTCTTGCCTTTTGTAATAATTCTAAAAATGCACTCCCTGTCATTGGATCTCCACTAAGGTCAAGTCCAACAATATATTGTGGATACTTCTTAATGAAATTTATTGCTAATTCTATATTTTCTTGTGCTGCCTTATATCCTTGTTTACGATTTATAGATATTAGTAATTTTATTAATATGCTTGGATAATCAATTTTGCAGACCCTATATGCAAAACAATCAAAATGAAATGTTTCTTAATATTTACATTGTAAAAACAGAAATATTTCAGTTGATATTTACTCAAATGCTTTTATAATTGCTTCTACATATTCTTGTTTTGTCATTTTCCCTTGAACAGCACGTGGTGTGCTTCTAAGCTCCAAATATATGACATTGTCATCTTTAAATTCTTTAACTGTATCATAAGTAGAATGAAAAACTGCCTCTGGTGTAACTGTTAATGAATGTGCTATGTCAAATACTTTGAAACACCTATAAACAATTATTATATATCTTTAGTATAATAACATAATATAAATTAAAATTAAAAAAGTCAAATTATGTTGTTATTCGTACTCGCCTAATGACGAGCAGTCTTTTATACTCATGAGTATATTTTCATAGCCTTCTGAATTAGGATTTTGCATTTTATATAATTTTTTCAAAGTATCTATGCTTAAGGATCCATTTAAATGAGCGTGAAGTTCCTATTAAATGCAAAAGGAAATGTGTATCCATGTCAAATTTTTTATATACGTTAGAATTGAAAAAAGATATTTCTCATTCATAGGCATTAACCTATATTTCGCTCGTTGTAGAAATTTTAGATTACATACCAATTTCGGCAGAGATTGACAAAAATTTTCTAAATCCATTGTAAAAACAAAATCAATTTTTTTACGAACAAAAGTTCTATTTTAATTTTAGTTTATTGCTTATCTCAAATAATCATTACTCAACTTTCCACAAAAGTAACAGTAACCATATGAATTCCGGAAATAAACTATTGATTAGTTTTTTACAATTTGTGTTGTAAATTTATGTTTTATATACTTTTAATAAACGAGGATGATAAAAAATACATAACGCAAACATTCAATAAAAATACATGTTTATAATAAATTTAATAATAATAGAAAAATACAGAAATATAGATTTCATACATAATTAAAAGTAGTTCATACAAATATATTCTAAGAGAGTAAAGTTAAAATCAAGTATTTTATCAAACTTATATACTATTTAATATTTTTTGGAGTGCTATGCAGTAATAAACTACAATACACATTAAAGATGAAGAAGAAATAGAAAAATACTTCAAGATAATATGACGGATATCAGTTTTCTTTTATATATAATTGACATCTTTTGTTTAATGTTCAAAAATTGTATACTGTAAAAGATCCATTAGTTATGGTTTGAAATACATTTAATCACACATTTTTTAGCTGAAATATATTCAACTTTTTCATACCTGATAATTATTTCTTAAATATTTGTCTTTTTTTAACTAGTTTAACGAATAATTAAGTAACAGATATTAATTTTGCTTCTCTATAACGAACAGAGAGCAAAGATTATATATTTATGTTTATGATGAAGTTTAGTTATATGTAAATACCTTTTATTTTTTTTAAGAATGTTTTTCTATACGTATAGCTGGTTTTACATATTTTAATTGAGACCTGAACATACAAGCTTGTTAAACATATATCTTTAATTTGATGTGGAAACTTTTTAGAATAAATTCAAATATCAGAATTTGGCATCAAATAATTCGTATAGAATACATATTATAAATACTAGAGTGCCATAATAGGCAAGAATAACATTGATGAAGCATAAAAATATCTTAAATTTTAAGACTGAATACCATGTCTAGGAACTGTTCATAATGAACTGTAATAACACCATCTAAATCTGTATCCAATTGTCTAAAGGCAGCAGTCAGTGTCTAAAATTTAGAAATTTTTCAAAATAAGCATGGAATATAAGTCATAACAAAATTTTATACAAATGTATACTTACATGTAAAACTACACAGCACTGAATGAAATCATCAAAATATATAGTTCCACGGCCAGCTCTGTCATATTTGCGTATAAGGGTATCTATAATTTGATCTGATAATCGATATCCAATAGAGCGGTTTTTAATTCATTTCTGTCAATATTTCCACTATTGTCCCGATCAAATGATCGAAAACAATTTTGCCAATCTGTTACATATTTCCATAGAGCTCCAAACTCTTCGAAACTAACTGTTCCTTTTTGATTTTTATCGAACATACCTGAAGAACCAGGATCAGTTTTGTCAATGTCAAACATACCTGCATCAATAAAATAAACTAAAGATATATTTTAAAAAATTTTAAAATACCATGCAAATCTACTCAGGAACTATGGAAATTTCTGTTAAATGGATTATTAGTTTTTCAACAATATAGCTAAAGTATAAAAATATAGCTAAAAACTTTCGAGTTTGCAATTAATTTACATGAGTGTTTGAAACAATAAACCTAAACAATTACCAATCATTAAACGAACTGTTTCTGGATTAAATGGTGTCCAAGTCCCATTTGAAAGAGCTAGCTGTAATTCATCTGCAGTAATTGCACCAGACCTGTCTTTATCGACTCTGTAATATACAAATCAGAAAAGTATCTAACATTTATACATAATATTTACTCTGGCTCATTAAAATTTGATTCCTTTTTATTATTTAATCATTTGTATAATTAAATGAAAAAATAAATATACGTATATAATTCATATAATTCGCATTTCGTATACATACTTCGTCATTAATAAGTAAATGACAAAATCCAGTTAAATATTTATCATATCGACAATATTTATAATAAACATACAAAATTATAAATATGTATTTCAATAAACGAATATTCAAATAAGTTTTAAAGTACCTTTGAAAGACATCCCAGAGGAAGTCTCGATTAGGCATAAGCGATCCAAAAGACATCCTTCAATTTACGTTTATTTTTGCAAACTATAAGATTCGGAATAATTATACTTAATAATGTAGCTTTATATTCCGTAACAGTTTACCTTATCTTACACGTCACGCTACTACGTATTCTGACGTGTTACTATACTATATTCATGAATGCAATACTAAGCTAGTTGTTTTCAACCAAAGACGAAGAAATTACTAGAAGGTTGAGTTAAATCTTAATGAAATGTATTAATTTAATTAAAAATTATTTATTTACAAAATTATATTTATTAACAATTATTATTACATATTAAAAAGTTTATTGCAGTTAAAAACATAAATATAAAAACGACGTAATATACTTTGTTGAACTTGATTAAATTAACCTAAAACATCAAACGGTTCCAGAAACATTTATAACAATCACTCCTCACTTTTTTATACAATTATTGGGTAAAATGAAAGTAATTACTTTTTAGATTCATAGACTTTTCTTATAAAGGAAAAATATTTTATAGTTATTATATCAAGTAAAATATTAAACAATATCTTTTTTATTTTCTATAATGAAAATATTGAATAAAAAGTTATCTTACAAATATTTTGTGTTATATGTTTTTATATCACATTTATTTAGATCGTTTTATTTTCCATGCACCAATTCTATATTTGTACCAAATAAAAAATAAATCTTTACCCATCTGTAACCAACTCCAAAAGGGTACAATTTTAGATCCTTCAACTTCTGTCCAATTCACAGGAATCTCAGTGATAGGAATGTTTAAAACTCTTGCAATATATAACATTTCTACATCAAATGCCCAACGTTCAACATGTAAAGCTTGAAATACAGCTCTTGCAGATTCGCGTGTTATAAGTTTAAATCCACATTGTGTATCTCTAATACCTCTTACTCCCCAAAACCATACTAAGAAATGAAATCCATGCATTAATAATAGTCGAAAAAACGTTCTTTTGGCAGTTTCTTCTTTTTCTAAATGAGCCCTAGATCCACATACTATTGCATGAGAAAAACTGACTTCATTTGGTTTCTTTACATAATCAACTGAAAAGAATGGTTTTATCACCTCAAATACATAATAGTTTATATTATAACTAAGAAAGTAACTTACATCCTAAAATACTTTCCAAGCTATTATCTAACTTTTCCAAATCTCTAAATTTGGTAGCACCATCTGCATCTGCAAATAATATTACGCTTCCTCTTGCATTTAACATACCCTTAAATAAAAATACTATATTAGATAAAAGAAAAGAACAGTAATTATACAATTTAAAGCTGAATGTATTTTGTTATTAACCAGTCTGACTGCTCCACCTTTCCCTCTATTTTTAATAAGATCTAATACTCTAATGTTTTCATATTTTGATGCATATTCATGTGCGATATCCACAGTTTTATCGGAACTTCCATCACTAACTATAATCACTTCATAAGTACATCCATTTCTTAAACGATTTTCCAAATATTTCAAACATTCATCTAACATTAGGGGCACTACAAATTAAATAGATAAACACATTATGTTTCCATAATGATACTGTTGTCAACATTATTGTCAATATTTACATCTTTTCTCTTCATTATATGCTGGTATTATAACACTCAAATGTACACTCCATCCATCATATAAAGATGGAAAAGCTACTATACTATTCGTCTTGGGATTTAAAAAATATTTTTCTTTTTCATCTCTCCATATTTCTGGATATGGTTTTGTTGTTATAAGTAGTACTACAGAAAACTAAGAGCATATAATTAACTTTATTATCATAGTAGAAAAAAAACAGCTAATTATATGTGATTTTTATATAAAATTTATATTGAAAAATATTAATAGATTTATAAAATTGCCACGTTTATACGAATTTAAATAACATATAAATAGTAATATAACCTAGAAACATACCGCAATTATACATATTACTGCAAATAAAATAACATAAAGAAGTAAATTTCCAAATGGTATCATCTTAATACTACGATGATTTTAAATAAGAGTAAAAAATATTGTAAAAGACACGTGTAACATTTATCTTATGCCGCCACTCATGTTCTTTGGATTGTAATTTAAATTGTACGTATTTTGAAGTTGGCTACACTAAATGCAAATATTCTATCCATTATTTCATTGGCGCAATACTTTTTATTTAAAGTAAAAATTAATCACAAAGAAACACATGTACTTAATAAAAAAAATGTTGAAAGTAAAAGATTTAAGAGATATTAAAATTAAAATAATTTGACGTTGGTTAATATTTATTTATATTTATATTTATAAACCTTTATTTATATTTATTATTAACTTTATACAATCAAATTGATAAGCAACTTATATGAAATGCAAATTGATAAGCATTCTACGTGTATTAGCTTGTATTTGTATTTATCATGCTTAAAACAATTTGAATTGTAATAATAAAATAGAGCATACTTTAACCAATATTCACGTTTATATTAATTTTTTGTCAGGAATTTCACATATTTATCATAAAATAACTTATTATAAATTGTATATCTTTTATACAACAGCATTCTTATATAAAAAAGATAAAATACGATTTAAAAATATAATGAATTCCGATAAAAATGATGAAATTAACAGTTTGAATAAAATAAACATTATTTTTCAAGACGGAAATAAAAATAATATGCACAATACGCATTCAATAAATATTCAAACTGATAATACTGCAACAGATAAAAAAAAACCGAAGGATAAAGTAACTATAACTGTAGACGAAGATGATCCATGTCTTCAACAGGAAAAAGAGGAAAGTAAACATGTTTATGTATCTTTTGGTGAAGATCCAAGTTAAGTTACCATATTTATTTTTTATGTTAATAGATATGATAACTAAAACTAATCTTTTTAATAATCGTGAAATAATTAAAATAATTTTCAACATCATTATTTAGATTTCAACAACAAAATCAAACATTACGTTGTTGGGTAATGTATACTGATTTTCACCGTTGCAAAAATATCTTAGGCGCGGAAACAGATGCATGTAATTGGTTTAAACAAGTTTACACGAGTATATGTGCGAATGAATGGATTTATCGATGGAATAAACTTAAAGCTGAAGGAAAATTACGATTTTAGGAGAAACAGTAATTTTTTCTATATTTTAGGGATAAATTTACTATTAAAAATAAATAGACTCACAATTAGAAAAAAATATCAATCTTTTATTATACAGGTACAAGACTTTTATGAGGTAACTTATATAGAAGTACGAAATGAATATTTGTTGCAATGCCCGATGTTGGCCTGTCATACGGCTGTCTTCAACAATCGGTCAACAATTTCTTCTTTTTCTTTTACATTAACCACACTAATTACTTCCTGTTTATATATGACACTTTTTACATATGTAAAAAATAAACACTTGCAGCAAATCTTCTCTAAACTGTCGTTAGAATAGAAGCTTGAAATAGCACAGTATTAAAAATTTTGCTTTGTTTAAAATTTATGATCCTTATGTAATAAAATGGCTATTTTAATTTGTGCACAAACTCCTGCCGTGATGAAGGTAACTTACCATCTTCAGATGTTACTTCTGCTTGTTAACAGCATTCTTCCATCTAAATGGGATATTGCTTCCTCAGAAATAGTAGCACCTGTAATTATAAAAGCAATAATACTTACTCACAATAAAAAGACATTTAAATTTGGAAGTTAACATTAATTACAAAAAAGTGTGATCACTTTCAATAAAAGTCTTGATTTTATATTTGGTAATGTCCTCTGAATCTTATGATTAAAGATTAAAACCACCTTACGTATAACTTAACAATGCCAATTTGGTAGCTAAATGCTACTTGGTCTGACTCTCTATTTGATGAATAAATTGACAATCTCCATCACTGCATGTTCCCATCAGTTCGTACGGACAAAGGACGCCATTGGGATTCGTGTTCCTGGTTAAGAATGATAAAAACAACAAAAAAAATGCTCAAAATTTTTGTAGAATTTAAATTAGAAAACTTTATATTATTTATATTTATGTTATATTGTATTTTGCTTATATTATTTTTATAAGGAAATATATCAAGATCACTCAAATATATAGAGAGCAAAACCCACCTTGGTACTTTGAAGTGTGTTAATATTGATTCATAAGATAATGTCTTCTTCATTTGGAGCTCTCCTTCAAGTCTTGTAGAATTCCTCTTCTCATTGCCTGGTTCTAAAGTTGTAGGTTTTATCATGTTATTTTCTGATACTTTATTATCTACTTTTTGTGCAACCTCTGAGTTAAGGACATCAGTGACAGGGATAGAAGTATCATTTAAATGTTCGGTCAATACTTGTTCAGTATCATTTTGTTTAGATGTATTTTCTTCATCAGTAGTTAGAGTAGAATTATTTAATACTATATCTTTTTCTTTGCTCGCTACATTTACATTTTCTGTAGCGACTTCTATTTGTACAGGTCTTTCATTTTCATTTGATTTTATCAAAGAATCATTCTCATTTAAAACCGTTTTATCAATATTGGACTGTTCCAATGACAGGTCTTCACTTTGTGAAGTTTCTGTACTTGCAGTAGATACTGTGTCTTTTTCCAATCTTGAAAATTCGCAAATTTCCGGAATGTTGATAGATGGTACTTTTTTGCGAGAAAGTTGCCGTGTGTGATTAGCTACCTCTTTCAACCTATTATCTAGAAGTTGTGCTCCAGCTTCAGGTACCCTAAAAAATATAATTAATGACGATATTTTAAAGACATTTACAATTATTCATAATGATTTAATGATTTATAGAAATACATTACTTGTATTCTTTTCCTACGATCCTATTTCCCAAAGTTGAACAAATAGTTGCAAGTTTAAAGCATTCTTGCCGACCTGCGTTAATTTTCCCATGTGCTGCTACTACCTTTGGACCTATATTATTAATACGGTTCTGTTGCATTTGTAATCTCTCTTCAGCAACTTTTAGTTGTTCTCTAAGCTTTTTTACTTCAGCAACTAAATTTGTTTGTAAATCTCGTTCCATGTGCCATTGACGAAGATTAGTAGACATTTCCGCCAAATCATCTAATATTGTGTAGCTATATTATCAATATACAAATAAATTATTATATAAAGACACATTAAAAGTAAGTATATGTTAATGAATTATCACTGAATGTATTCACCGTTTCATAACTAGTTCTTGTTCCATATCAATTAAACGTTGTTCTTGTTCTGTGTGTGGAAGAGTTATAAGTGTATTTAACTCTGTTTTAACATCTTTCTTTATTACTTCCCAATTTTCTTTTATACTTCTTGTATCCTTTGATGATGAATTATTTTTAAATAATAGAAAATAATCGTCATGCTTATTTTCTGTGTTTGAATTCAGTGATGTATCTTCCTGATATTCTGAAATTGTAGATTCAGATGCGTCAAGACTTGTTTTTCTTTCTTGAGGTCTTTGTGATAAAATAATAGTTGACGCATCTGAGTCCACTACATCATTATCACCAGATGGAGTATCATTAGTAATAATGTCTCCCTCCATAAAATGTATAAGTTGATTCATATCATAATCACATATATCTTTATTATTACTATCTTTACTTCCAGAAATATTTTCATTTCGATTAATTACTATTTTCTTATTTAAGATCACTTTATTATTTATTGTTACTACACGTTCATTTGTATCATTTTTTACTTGTACTTGTACATATTTTCGATTCACCTCATCCGTGGATAAAATTTTTAAGCTAGGTGAAGCTTTCGTTTTCGCCTGAATTTTATGCGTAGACGTCTCAACATTTTTTTGCGATGTATTTATCGGTAACATTGTGTTTTCAAGAGTTTCATTTCCAATATTATTTGGATTGCTTTCCGTAGATACACAAATATTATTAGCTATTATTGATGTCGTTTTTGTTTGATTTGAATTTATATTTTCTTGTTTATCAACATTACACGTTTTATTAATACATGACTGAGCACTGCTTGTTGATATAGTTGTATTTTTTGCATCAACCAAATTTTTAGAACAATTTTCCTTGTTTAGCTGTGTATTTATGTTTTGACTTTTTGTAGGTATTGTTTGATTTACTTTTACAGGTAGCTCTTTATTTGAATTATTAGACAGTGTGGATTTTGAAGATACTTCTACATTTTTGTTTTTTGCTAAATTGTTATTTTCTATAGTTCTATGCAGCTTCAGTTTCTCGCGTTCCAAAATTTGTTGCTTCAATCGACGATATTCCTCTTGTTGAGATGCGGGTAAATGACGCACAGCCTGTAAAAATATTCCCATAATTAAATGATTTGTGTTACAATAATGTATCATGTTATAGTATTCTTACCAATGGTGTGTGAAGATTGGATGAATTTAATTTTTCTGGTTTTGTCGTTAATACCGAATCTTTTTTAAGTGCTTGTGATACTGAGGTTGGTCTTGCAGCTGCCATAGATTCTTGTTTTTTCCGTACCGCGCGTAAAAATTGATCTAAATTTTTCTCAAATTCTGCTGTAGAGTTTACTGTTGATTGCTGCTTTTCTGTTATAAGAGAATGAGCTGAAGGAATAGTTATTTTCTTTTGCCATTCAGATTCAGAATCACTTTCTGTATCAGACTCTAAATTTATAACGATTCTTTGAGTGTCAGACAATGCCTTTGCATTAACAGACCATTTACTGTCATTACACTGCATCTTTGATAAAATTTTGTTTTCTGCCATTTTTTGTTTGTTATAGAGAGTAGCCTTTTGTAAATTTAATCTTTTTTGAATCATTGTGTTTTGATATTTTTTTGCATTGTTTACAACTTTTGTACTTGCAGGAATTGAAACTCTTTTTATAAGCTTCTTCTGTGGACCTTTTGTTATAGGTATTGATCTTTTCCTTCCCACAGTTGTATTTAATGCTTTAACACTCTCAGTAGATACATATTTTTGTGCAAGATTATTTATTTTCTCCCCAGCATTTGACTGATTTTTATCATTTTCAGAACCGTATGAATTTATGTGTGGAAGTGGTAAAGATGTTGTACCATCAGTGTTTGTTATATTAGTTGTATTACCTGTATTAACATCATTTGAAACAGTTTGATTCACAATTACTTGATTTAATGTAGTAGATACTGCTGTAATTGCAGGTGAATTAGTGCAATTACTAGTCATTTTTGTTCGTTTTGGCAAAGATGCTAATAAAATTGCTCTTAATGCTTCTTCGTCTTCATCAACACTTTGTCTTCTATCTTCTTTAGACTTTACTTGTTCTGATGCATCAGATGAATTATTATTACTCTGTATTTCTTCTTTGCTAGTACCCAAAGAAATTTCATTTTTTTCATCAACAATGTCTTTTGAAGTTTTTAGTTCAGGTATACTGTTACTGTCTGTTGAATCTCCCTGTGTTTGAATTTCATTTTGATCTTTTTTATCATCTGTATGAAGAACTTGATCTGACTTATGTATTTGCGTATCTATAGGATTTATATTATCATTTTTTGTACGTGATGTATTATGCTTTTTTGTAATCAAAGCTGCTGTGTTGGTATTTTTCCTTTTTATCCCTTTCTTTACAAGTTTCTTTTTCTTTTGTGTTGGAGTTTTAATATCACTAGTTTTATTTGAACTTGTAGTAGTTGTATTATTTTGTACCAGAGCTACACTAGGACTACTTTCTACTAGTGAGGTATCAGTTTTATTTGCAGATGTTTCATTAGTTGTATCTTCATGTAAAGAATCATGAAATGCAATTGGTATTGCTAAAACAGAATGAGACTTTTGTGGGATGGACATTAATTTTATTGGTTTAAAGGAAGCATTTGTCTTTGTACTAGTTTCTTCATCAATCATAACTGGCTGCATTTTTGCACTTTTGAATGTAGGCTCTTGCTGTGTTGTACACTTTCTGGTAGGTAAAGGTAATTGCAACTGTTTATTTGTTTTTAAAATTGGTGCTGGAACAAGTGTTCTATTAATTAATGTTGGTATTTTATTTGTATCTTTGGTAACATCTGGTAATCCCTTCATATAAAGTGGTTCTGATATTTTTTCTTTAATATTGTTTGATAAATCATTTGGAATGTATTCTGTAGATTTTATGTTTCTAGAAGTATCAGTTGAATTTATGTCTGTTTCATTATCAGGCAGATCATCAATCGTTACCATTGAACTACTTGGTGATACTGATTCCATAAGAGAAGTAGTGGAACCAACAATTGCATCCTTTGGAGTTGTTACTGTTTTAGTTTGTTGTTCATCTTCATTTATATTGTTTGTTTGTTTTATAGTTGCTACATGTTGAGTTGTTGTATTATTACATTGTTCATTATTTCCATGTGTATTAAAAGCATATGATTCTAAAGAAACTAAGGAGGAATTTGAAGTACCCAGTGGACCAAGAGTTTGTGGAAGAGCATGTGATAAGTCAGGATCATATATAGGAGTATCAGTTGGTGAATAAGGCATTTCTTGACTTGAATTAACATCTAAAAGTTCAGAAGTATTATTACTTTTAACAGTATTGCACGTATTTTCATAAGGATGAACATTTAAATGAGAATTATGTACTTTCATAAAATCTGATTTAGAAGTTTCTGTATTGTTTGGTAAATATTGCATATTTGCATTTGAAGTACATAACGGACTTTGTGATGGTAAATAGTATACAATATTTGGCAAATAACTTCGATTTTCAATGATTTTCCCCTGATAAGATTTTTGATCATCTTGGTTAGTTGTTATAGATGCATTAAAATTTGGACTGTTATTTGCTTCATTAAGACTGATAAATGATACATCAGATGGTTGAATACCTAATAACTCTGTGTCTATAGATATATCTGCAGTAATTTTGTCTGTTGGAGAGTATGGTAATTTTTCTTTTTCTCTTTCAACATCTGTATCTAATTCCATATCTTCGGTATGATTACTTTCATTTACAGGAAGCGGAGTATGAGGTGGTGATGCAAAATTTAATAATTCTTCTCCTGGTATAGGGATACTGTCTAAAAAGCTTTGAGTGAATGGACTTTCACTACGGAAGGTATTAGATTTCTTACTCTTTCCTGATTTTATACCCTTTTGAATTCTATTCTGATGTTTCTTTAATACAGCAGATCGAAGTGCAATCATTCTCAATTCTAAATCTTCTTTATCTTGATCATCATTTATATCTGCAGTCACATTTTTTGCAATCTTTGGTTGATCATTCTGTTTATTTGATTTATTTTGCTTTGTTTCCAAGGCCTTTTGTCTCAATAATGCTAAATCTTCTTCATCATCTGCATCATTAGATTCTTTTTTACTCGCTTGCATAGTAGATTTTTCTTTTGAAATATTTGTGACATCATTATTATCAGAAATACCCTTTACCATGTTTATTAATTTTTCTTTTAAAGAGGATGCATGTTCCTTATTTTTATTTAAAGTTTCTTCTAATGAATGAGTTCCCATTGAATCCAATTGCCTGACTTTTTTTAGTAATTTATGTGTATCAACATAATTATGAGATGACATTAGCTCAGTATGCGATGTTTTTCTAGACATTGTCTTTGTTGAAGATCTGTATGGTGATCTAGCACGGATGATTGGGGATTTTGATCTTCTAAAAGGAGACCTTGTTTTCATCAGAGATCTATGTCTTTTAGGTGGTGATCTTGGAATTACTCTCGATCTACTATTTCTACGATTAGGACTAATCTCTCTATGATGCGATCTAGAAGTATTTTTTGTCACATCATGTTTTACCGCATTACCACATTCTTTCATAGATATATCCACAGTAGATGAAGAAACTAGATCATTTATTGACAACACACTTGTATGATTCCTTTTCTTTTTTCTCTTTTTTTTCACTCTACTTTTTGAAGAAGTACGTATTACAATTTGTTTAGAATTATCTGCAAGACCAACAATTTCCATGTCACTGTCACTTGAAATAGGCACAAGATCATCGTTTTTTTCTTGAAGTGTAGAAGTTGCATGTTTTGTTCCAATGCATCCTGATTCTTTTATTTGATGACGGTTTTCTTTTCCCTGGACTGCATCTTGTAGAATAAGGTCAACTTCTACTTGATTAGAACATGATATGTCGAGAATGATAATACAACAGGTACATAAAAGTTTAATACGTTATTAAATAGAAGTATATCTTATATAAATAATGTCCCAAAAATATTAAAAGTATAGATCAACAAAAGGTAACTAATTTTACATTAAAGCTTATCTTTAGTAATCAAATAAAAAATGTACAAAAGTATAAGATATTTTTACGCTTTTTATAATAAATTACTTATATTATTTATAACTTTTGTATATAAAATAATATTAATAATAAATTAAAACATTACAAAGTTTTTGGCATTAATGTATTCTTAATAACTGTAACATTTAAAGATACTAAAAAAAAATGTATTATTTAATTTACCTCTCCTATTATAGCCCTTGGAAGGATAAAACTTTGTAGGAGCGGTACACCACGTTGCATTGTGTTGGCTCGACAGACAGTTCGAACACTGAGAAATTTTAGTACCATATCCGTAATTTAAATGTCCTTCCTCGGAAGAACTTACATCCTCCAAGGATATTTCACCTTCTTCTTTCTCATCTATCACACCAATTGTTTCCGTACACTCACTCGACAAATCGCTAGCCATTTTTAAACTTACCCTCAAATTGTGAACAACTAATCGCGTTCATTCGTAATAATAAAAAACGAATACTGTTTCATAAAAATTAGGGTTAATTACGTATTAGCAATAATTGTGATTTTTCACCGATCTAAACCTAGTACATGCACAACACTTTATTGTAAATAATTTTACGTTAGAAATCTTTTCACATATAAAACAAAAAATTTTAGTAAGCCCGAATATTAATTTTAATACAACAAAGGAATAATTAAGACACCACAACATCCGTTTTTATCGCAGCTTTGTCTACACGAATAAATGCATGCAATAGTTCCGCCATACTAGGTCGTTTCCAACACATGATGTGAAACGGTTGATATTCACTGATTCGATGTGTTCTAAAATTACATAACGATCGCAAAACATAAAAACGAGGCAGTTAATTTTTGAACGTATCTTTTTATCAATCACATCACTGTATGCACAATACCATTTTTTGTAAATCAAGTTCTACTAAAAAATAGAGTCAACTTATGATTTTATTTTTATATATATTTTAAATATCTCTTTCACCAGTTTTTGCTTTTATGATAATTTAATCAATATATACATATATTTTTATCCTAAATAAATTAATATAAAAGCTATTTAGAATACACGTTAGCAAAACGATTACACTTGTACGATAATTCTTGTGCAATTCTATAGGTGAACGGAATTACTATTTGTCACTTCCGTTTGGTCGCATTTTTAAACGAAGGATATTAAATTTAGGCTCAACATGATAATCGAGTAAATCTTTATCAAATATAAAGCGTGCTAATGCTTGATCACCAATTCCAGATAGAATAGCCACAAATCTTGCCATCTCATTTATACTTTTCATTTGATCTTCCATAAAACCAGTAATAATAAAATCACTTGCATTTAAATCGCCATGTTTTTCCGCCACGGCGTTTACCTCTACTAGTTTATCAGTTACTTCAATCTCCAAATCTAATGCTGTCTAAATCAATTTTATGATTGTATTTATAATTATTAAGAATGTTTAATTTATTTTTAAATTATTTACTTTAAAAGCGTGCAACGGACATTTCCAATCTTGATCGAGAGGTGACTGTATTGGACACAAATTTACACGCCCCCCGCGCATTTTTACGTAATTTAAGAATCTGAGAGCGTGCTCATGTTCCTCATGATGCATTTGCATGAAAAATGACTCACAGCCAGGTAAAGCTACGTCAGCACGTCCAAAGTATGCAGCCTATAGAAAACAGCTGATTTGTATTAAATATAATGATATTAGAAAAGCTATTTATTTTTTATCTCACCATGGATAAATAGTAATAGAAAGCTTTTAGCTCAGCATTTATTTGCACGTTTAATATATCTTCAGTTTCTTGATGAAATTTATAATTGGTTGGTTTTCCACTAGGCCATTTCATGGGTTTATCAATGCAAAAGCCACCAAACGTTCCATTCGTACAAGACGTAGTCAAAAAGTTTGCAGGAGATATTTTTGGTTTACATATTTTCTTGAGAAGATTAATTCTTGAGAAACATTACTTATTTTTTAAACTAGATCTGATATTAAATTTTTTCATCAATAAGTTAGAGACTTACTCCTTTTTATACAATTGTCGAGTACATAGATTAAAGATGTCACAAAGAATTTTCCAGTCACTACATAATTTTGACATGTTTCACTTTTAGCTACGAATAATTTACATTTCGCATTAAAAAATTGTTAATTGTGAAAATTATTCTTCAAAAAATTTTCATTTTAATTCACATGTCATTATATCGATTCGCAATTTATTTTGGTATCGCATAGTAAATTTAGTGATAAAAATAAGTACTATATATTCAGAATAACCAAGTTTTATTATGATCAAAGTTAACACTATGCTGGGCAATACATTAAAACGTTTGTCATATTTATTAACATGTTAGGAGTTCCGAATTTCATTTCTTTAAAATATTTGTTAACTTAACGCAAAAATCGATGATATTATATAAGATTATACAAGTGGATATATTTAATTTTATCGATAGAAATTAAATATTGTACGTGTTACTCACTTTAGTGTTATATAGTGCATGTTTAATTATTGTTATGTATTTATTCATAACAATCTTGTGTGTACACAGTATATTCATTTTTCTTACTAAATGTGTTACTTTTATGAATAACATTTTAATTTCTAAGTTCCTGATCGATGATATATGTCCCTAGACCATCGCCAAGTCTACCTAATCTTGTTACATAATTAGCAAGTTCATCGATAGAATCTACTTGGTCTTTCAAATATTCGCTTTCCAGGAAATCTAATAAGTTCGGATCGTTATGTTCCGTCGCTAATGCGTGCATCGCAAGGAGGCTCTGGAAATATTAGAATATTTATAAAAATATTTATTTCATTAAAAAATATATTACCATTTTGAAATGTTTGTATTATAAAATTAATGTATAAAAAAAAAAATATAAAAATTTATATTTGAATTGGAGGAGCTGGGATTTGAACCCAGGACTTTCCGCATGCGAAGCGGACACTCTACCACTGAGTTACACCCCCACTTAGAAAAAGAGATACTAAAAGTATACAAATATCATACAAAATGAAAATATACAAAGAAAATTGATTAATTTAGTAAAATATAGTGCAAAATATCAATTGTATTGTACAGAAATAATAGATAAACAGAAGTTTTTTCTTAAAATAATTGTATAAAAATTTATTTTCCTTATACCAATAACAATAATATTTACAGTTGTAATATATTATAAATATACATACCTCGTTAATTTTCCTCTCTAACTTTAATGCTTCAGTCATAGCATCGTGAGCGCTATCCCAAACATCTTTTGGCGGACTTTCAATACGTGACAAAACGATACTACCACCTCTTTTGTTTTGATACGTCATGAATTTCATGGCATGTTCTCTCTCTTCGTCCGAAGCTTTTTTGAAATATGAATAATGACCTGGTAAAGCTACGTCGCTTCGATTAAAATAATATGCCTAAGAAAAGAGATAGTAGAGTAGAACGTGGAAAGTAAGGTTAGCAAAAATTATAATATAAAAAATTAAAAGTTTCTTCTTATGTAAATATCATTGTTTAAGAAAATTTAATGTTACAAAATGGCCATTTAATCGATATGTCAACTAACCATAGAGAGATAAACGTAACTCGCATACAATTCCATATTGATTTGGTCGTTGATGGCTTTTTCACAGTCGGCGTGAAAATTTTGTCTAACCAGGGTTGTGATGCTTGACGTCATTGTAAACAATTTTGATAAGGTAAAATACAAATATAAGGATACAATGTAATAAATTACACTAATTTTCTGGAGGTTTACAATGCACCAGGTATAAGCAGATGATACAGAAGAAATATCATACTCGCATGCGCGGATGCGCACGTTTTATCGATTTTACGTTTAAAATTATGACCCTGAATATAAACATAACGAGTTAACAAATAATAAATTTAATGCAATTTGGTTTGTGGTTGTGATTTATTACTTTTTTTTCATGAGATTATGGCAATTTAGGTTGTAATTTTTACGTTTTTCTCTATATATTCCATTCGAAAAATTACTATAATATATAGATAGTTATTATGTACAAATTGTGAAAAATAGATATGCATTATGAATTTCTAATTTTGTTAATGTTGATATTTTGGAATTAAAAAATATTTCATTTTCGATTTCTTTGCATTCAAACGTCATTTAAATAGTGTGTGTTCGAAAAGTAATCATAACGTGATGCTTGACTGTTCAAAGCCAATGGGCAGAGAGCACTATGTTTGCAGTATGACTTGGTTTGGATAGGTTTCGAAACACATAAATGGCTGCAAGTGTACATCGATATATTATATGATAAACCTCTTGATTTGATTTCGATTTAAATATTGAAGGTAGCATTTTTTTATCTTCTTTTTTCAAATTTAATTATAGTTAGATTTATATTTTTCGTATTGTAGCATCTTGCTCATGTTAGTAAAAAATTGATCTTGTAATTTTTGTTTCTTATTATTATTCTACATTGGGTTGTACAGAATTAGATTTTTAATTTCAAGATTTATATTACAGTCTACTATAACAATTTATAGACTTGATACCTTAAATGGGAAGATTCAGTAACAGATAATAACGTATATATATTTTCTTTTACGCAGAAATTGTAATTGAATTCACAATGGTAGTATATTTCATATTAATTAGTTACATGATCTTTTAATATTTGCAGATTAAGAAAAGTATATGCAAAGTATAAATGTTTGAGAGGAAGTGTTATCAAAATGAATCATAGTTGATAAATAATAAGTAGATTTAAATGCTATTAACGTGAGATAAAGGTTATATTTGATAGAGAATATTTTGTAATATATCTTTTGTAAACAATTGTTTATTTGATGGTAATTTTTATAATACCGTAGTAATAAATACTAGTTTCTTTAAGAGAAGGAATTAAATCAGATAGAGGTATATTATCGTACAATAATGTTTTAGGGCAAAAGAAAATGTATTATAGGTTCATATTTCACGATAATAAAGAATCAGAGGTACAATTAGATTTAAATACTTTATTGTCATGTTTAACAAATTATTTTAATATATTCCCATTATAATTTAATGTCTCATGTCTTCTCATCATTTTCTCTAGGTAGCTGAGGATGTAAAGTATATTTATACAATTTATGGGTACCTTATATCTTTGCTTAAGATAGCAATTAAGACATTCATTAAAGGTTTAATAATCATTATGGAATGTTCACATTATGTGATTTTCCACAGTAATTATTACAAAACCCAAAGTTACATAGAAATTACTGAATTGTATCATGTGAATAAAAATTAGCCGATAAACATTGCTAACAAAATATTTTCCCAGATATATACTAAACTTATGTGATCTGATGTCTATCTAGAAGTTTCAGTTTTCAATCTACCTAGGAGTCACACTTCCAGACGATATAGATTTCGTCGTATCATCGATGCTTCATGGAAGCCCCATCATAGCCGCTGTCACACGCACAAGAGTCTTACGTCTAATCTTGTGCAGTGGCCAGCAGCTGCATTAGAGTCCATTATTTTTCATTTCTTCTCTTTGCTTACATAGTTTCCATTCCAATAACTTTTTTCCGAAGTTACATAGTTTAAGTAGCTGCAAAAACCATAAAGTAATATTTATGACAAAAGTAACATCAGAAAAGAAAAAGAGAGTAAAGAAGAAGTTGAAAGAATACCGAACAAGTTTTCTTGAAATATAAATTATTCGACAGATTTCGATTCGAGTTTGAGAATGATTTTTCTACTTTGCACCATAGAGTTTTGTCGTTACGGATAGCGTTATCGCCCTTATTATGGCTATTTAATCCTGCTCTTTTCGTAGCTAATAGTGGAGTTAAAAAGTGGGATACGAAGTGGTAAAGTATGTATAGGTACAGTGAATGAATGAGTAAAGTACAACTTGGCTGGCACTATCTTTTACCACGTACCAATGATGTGGTCTATTTTCTCTTATATACGCTGTCGATGGGTAGCCTTCGTTATAGTCTGCATTCGCTAAATATTAAAAAAAAAAAAGGGAAAGAAAAACCAGTTCAACTGTAGTGTCTTAGATATCTCTTTCTCTGCTCAAAATAGTCTTCTTGCCAGAAACTCTTGAAACTATCTCGTGTAGTTTTATTTCGTAACACGATGTGGGATTTAAACGAAAAGTCCGTTTCGTTATTTACGATTCGTCATTGAGCTATTTGTTTCGTTACAATTCATATTTCTATTGGCACATTTCTACTAATGCTGCGAAAAAACAACGACACGTACGATCCATGTAAATACGTGAAAAGAATATCCGTAGCAAGATAAGTTGTGGGGACCGGACATCTGGTTGTTCTATAGGTTGATAGGATAGTTCGACTCGAATACAAAATTCATTATCTTCGATTTTCCTATTCGTACATTTCTACGATGAACTTACCGTAGTTTGTACACATCGAGGCTAACTCTTCTTCCATTTGCTATGCACCGGAAGCTACAACGCTGACCACGATTGGAAGTGATCGAGATCAATTTTAAACGATCGCTACAACGGATGCCGTTACAATGCTCGATCGTTTTGTCCCGAGGAAGAATAAGGTATCTTCGATAACTTTGTCGTATTCGCGGATAACACGGGAAATAATTTTCTTACTGAACAACTTGTTATTTAACATCGTTTCAGGAGTTTATCGTGGACGTTTCATTTAGAATCGCAGGTATTCCAAAGACAAAAACCTTGCTGCAAGATACGACTGACATTGGGATGTTCACACAATGGAATCGATGTACACCTTTCAATTGGTCCAGTAATATTCCGCCACACACTCCGCCGATCCTTGATACTCTTGTTCACGTATAAAATAATGAAATTCGAGCGGTTGCATGCTCCAGTCACTGAGGGTTGTACAGCGCGGTGTCGAGTAAATGTCAAGCAGAACTTCCAAGTAATCGCACTTGATCAATGTTCCCTTTAAATTGTTTCGGTATCACTACGCGATCGAAGCTAGACGTAAGTTAATAAACAATGATCTTTGCACTTCTGTCCATGTTCCGAGCACAACTGCCGATACCTTCTTAGTTCACCCTTGGTTATATACCAAGACACCACGTGGTCATCTAATCCACCGACCAATGACGGGGTGGCTTTAGACTGCACCGGCCAATGAGCATTTTTCTTTAAGGCCACAAGACACGTGTTTCTTGGGAAATAAGGGCACAGGCATTACGAACGAAATCGTATTTGCGTTACCGAAGTTGGACGATCGAATGCAGACGGTACACTTTTCTTGCCTAGCTTTTCTTTTCCTCCCCCGACATCTTTCTGTTACGCGATATTTGGCAATGGTCATGATCAACGATCGATCGTCTATTTTAACTAATTTCCGATTTTTCTTTCTATTTTCATGGAGAAAAAGATGTCCTTATTCTCGATTTCGTTACTCTAGGAATATTTTGCCCCGATTGCGAACAACGAATTCTTATATTCTAAGAGGCACGTGAGAAGAATTAGCCTAGATTACCGAAACAAATCAGCTTCTGCCCTTTTTGGAACCAGTGTCTTATGTTTTTGTCAGTTACATAAACGCTTTCTATTTCATTATATAAGTTCACCCTGTGACCTGGCTATTGCCGTCTGTTGGCAGTCTGTTGCCTGTAGTAGTGTTTAATGATATTGTGAAGAGGTGAATCCTTAAAACGTATCCCACATACATACCAACGCGAAGCGGGTACCCCGTTCGTTAAATAGCTGGATCCGGCATTAGGACGACCTAATTTTTATGCCTTGCTTTAAACCGTCGCTGTCTCGCTAAATCCAGGATCTATAGTCGTCAAAATATACCTAATCCGTGCCTTCTGTTCTTACTCTATTTCCAACAGAAAATTTCTCCAATTTATCGCAGATAGCTCCATGGGTATTGTATTTTTCTTAGAAGAACAATTTCTTTAAACATACTTCCATAATTCGAGGATTTTTGAGTTCGATCTTTAGTGGACTTAGATCGACGTAATCGCGGCTATAGAGTGAAATTAACGGGTGGATATTATCAGTGTTGACTGTTGCTGACTTTTATGGCTTCCAACGAAGGAGGTCACGTGATAAAGGACACGAGATGAGTCGCTGTTAAGTGAAAATCGAGCTAGCATTATCGACGTTTGACATTCACATAACATCGAAGGAACATCGGGCTAAGGTTGCTAAGGTGTGTAAGGAACATCGATGCGAGTTGGAAGAGTAAGGAACGTGAGACATCGATGTTCTGTTCGACATTCCTACGGATAAAACACAGCTGGTTTGCCGGATGAAATATTTGACAGCTCCTAGATCGTTGACGGATCATCGTTAATGATCGATTGGTTATTCCCTATTCGAGTCTCCGTTATAACTTGAAACTCGAAGGAGGGACGAGTGGTCGAGGTGGATAGTTTTGTGAGTGAAGGAGCTCGCTCGGGAATAAGGGTGGAATGCGAGAAGCGGATGAAGATGAGGAGCCATCTAGCTAACCTTACGCCCCTGCCGTACGTTCCCTCTGACCGAGGAGACAACGACGAGGAGAAAGAAAAAGAGGACGATGGTGGCGGGGGGTAACACTAGCCGAGTAAGCTCTGAACACTTCTTAGGATTCAGGGCTTAGCACCCCTGGATCCTCAGGCTTCACGTCTGCCTGGCCTAACCTGGGTCTCCTCCACTGACTCCACCGATACCCGCTGTCCCGTTTTTCCGTCCATCTTTCCACCGATCCACGACTTTCCTTTCCGTGTTCTAATTACTTCTCACTCGTGTCCATTGTCCTTTTTCAGCCCAACCACCACCGCGCTGTCAACGTGAAAGAGATCGGACA